TTTCTTAATTAAAAAAAACATGCAAATTGTCCATGATGAAGAGGACAACCGTGAATGATTATTTTTTATCTGCAGGTGAAGACGACAAACGTAAGCAGCTGAGTTGGACGCAACGCCTAAAAATTATTACCTCCATTGCAGAGGGCGTCTATTATCTTCATGTCCATTGTGGCAGGAATATCATTCATAGAGATCTTAAGCCCGCCAACATACTGCTGGCTGATGATTTGACACCCAAAATAGCAGACTTTGGACTGGCAAAACACGTTCCTGATGAGCAAACCTTACACACAATTGTTGGACCCCTCTAAGAATAAATCATAATATATGGCAGATAAGCAATACAACCAAAATATGAAAGGTGTATGTAATACATGTGTAAGTGTACGTGTGGATTGGAGCAATGCTTGTAACTCCGATCCACACATACGCCTCCACTTATATTACATGCACGTTTTTTTTCCAGTTGTATTGCTTATCTACCGTGTGCACTTATTAGAGACGACTGCATGCTTCTTTGGATATATATAACTGAACAGAATTTATGCATTTCTTAAAGCGGTTACTCGGCTCCAGAGTGCCGAAATGGGCGAACAACAAACAAATCCTAGGTCTACAGCTTTGGAGTGGTTCTGCTTGAGATAATTACCGGCGGCCAAAACTGTGTCACGCTCATGCAGAGGCTACTTCCACAAGTAAGTAAGCTAGAAAATACACCAGCACTTCATAAAGTTATTATCAGCTAACTCCACGGTTCTTCTAATTGGCAATTGCATTGGTGACTTGGTGTATTGCAATTAAAAAAAGGCACAACCTTTTTTGTTCTGCGCAGGCCAAGAAATCCTGGAATAATAATAATAATGAAGGCTGCACACTGGAGGAACTGTTTCTTGACCCAAAAGTGCCTCTATCTTATGAAGAGAAAGCTGATCCCAAGTTCTTATCAAGGCTATGGAGCTGCATCGAGATTGGGCTGCTTTGCGTGCAAGAGTCGCCCGACATAAGACCTAAAATCTCACGAGTTGTGAGGACGTTGAAAACCGATCCAGAAGGTAATCTATGGGAACCAGAGGAACCGGCCCTTATTATGGAAGAACGGCCTGTTCGGCTGGTATTAAAGTCGGCTGAAGCTGTTTTATTGTGAGAGAAAAATACTGCAGATTCTAGCTGATAAGTTCAAGCGAACAGGCCCGAAATTACAGAAGAAGGCGAAACATCAAACGCAATGCGCACAGACGATGACATCGAACAAAACCAGCAACTCTAACTTCTAATTTCTTGAAAACTATACATAGAGGTTCATTGAAACATCAGACAATAATTGTATGTGTCTGCTTCATGAAGCTCAAACACTATTCACGATTCGTCAGCTACCTAAAGAGACTATGGATGCGTTCTTGTAAAATATCGCTCTATCATACATTTGAAGATATTTTCCTCAAGTCAACAACTATCAGCAACTCGTGAAATGCATTGGTCTAGTGGTATAATTATGGCCTTATGGGTGCATGACTCCGGTCACTAGGGTTCAGATCCTTATTTGCGTCGATATTTGTGAACTTTAATTTGATCGTTGTATGTGACCCTGATTGCGATTGGTGTTCATCTAAAAAAGGGTACTCACAAAAATTCTTTAAAAAGGTAAATTCATGAAAGAAATTATTACGTGGCTTCTCTGTCTTTCAGTTGAAAACAAGGAATGTTGGGTGCATGGCCAAGTGAAAATGGTCTTGCAGAAGGGGAGCGATGTAATAACATTTGGCTATTTATTATGTTTGTGCCCCGATTCAAAATTTCCAACAAAAGAGAGTTATGATTTTTCTAGAAACAATTCAGTCTCAATTTTGTAAAGCATCAATATTATATTGTCACATTGGGCTACTTTTCTTTGTGCCCTCACACGAATATTTCAATTAATGAGACGCCAAACCCATGTCTTTGTGGGAACTAGAAAAAGGTGAGCAAATTTTTATTGTTTCGTTCAAATTCTTGTGCACAAAATTCAACCACATCTTTCTATCTAAAAAGTTAACTTGATTTTGAAATGGATGCACTTCTGTATGTGAAAATAAGAAAAGAATTTAAAAAATGAGCAAACTAAAAATAAAGAACAAGGTTATGTAAATGAAAGGAAATAATATTATGAATATATTGTAGTTGAAATACAAGATCTAAAAGGAAAAGGAAACGGGGCAGAAAAGAAAAAGGGAAAGGAAAACAAAAGGACACAAGCTCCCCTGCTTCTAATTCTGTTTTAGGAAGTGATTCTTTGAGGGAAGTAATTTTGTGACTAAAAATGATTCTTTATGATTTTGTCTAGGATAAAGTCTATATAGAAAATGATTGAATCAGGGTATCTGCAAATTGTTTGGGCCATCTTGTTGACCCTTCTAGCCATTGCGCTAATTTTAAATTCATTTTGGGTTCATCTTGCAAATTTCTCAAATATAGCTTGTAATTCACACTTGTCATGCAAAAAAACAACTAAACACAGGACACATATGTGTACATGTTTAAACTCTCATTGTGACGAGGTAATACCCTAGTCCTATTAGTCCCATTAGCTGGGTTTGCAAACCTAATAGACTGAAAGTGTTAATTGAGGCTTGACAAAAAATTAGTCCACCCATTAATCTGACTGTTTGGATGGACTATGACTATATTTTAGCTATTACTCCCTCTGTCCTAAATTCAAGGTATCCAAGGTTCCAAATTTGTCTCAATTACAAGTTATTCTACATTTTTAACCTCATCCATGCACATATGCCTTTTAAACTCCATCGATACATGCCTTTTAAACATCATCCAGCACAAAATGACTCCTTCAATTGGCAACTGGAATCAATGAGATGCATGCATGTCATTTTGAATTATATGAAACTAACTAGTTAGTGAGAGGTAAGTTAGTCTTTTGCCAAACTTCTTATTTTGTTCTAAAATTGCTTGAATATATTGTATTTTAGGACAGAAGGAGTATTACTCTCTTGTTTAAGAAAAACTTGATTTTTTTTAGGATTGAAATATTGTCCAAAAAACTTGGTGTTTTAGCTCTTGGACACTAGGTTGGAATTTTGGATTCATATCAGCCATTCAGCCTGAGATTGTGGCTTGCATACCTCCATACATTTTTTAATTAGCGGCTTATTTCTTTATCAACACGAATTACCTCAATAAATAGGGTACATGTGAGCGCAAAAATATGGTACATGTGAGCGATGATCAGTCCTAAAAATACGAAAACACAAGAATTTTGAGATAGATGAAGTAGTTGTTAGGCCCAACAAAGAAAAAACAGAGGAATTCTAGAGCATTGAAATCCTATAGGAAAACTTTTTATGAACCCCTTTGGAATAAAGGATTGGGTTCCTACTTCCTAGAATTCATAGGAAATTGCTATGGAATGACTTGTTTCATAGGAATTTTAGGGGAATTTTACCAAGAGGATGAACCTCATAAAAAATTTCTTTTGTGTCCCCCATTGAATTTCTGTTTTTCCTTCGCTCCATCCTAGAATAGAAGGTGCAACTCCCTCAAACACCAAAATCAAGAAGCAAATTAACTCCTACACGTTACAAGCGCTGTGGTTCTCCGTCTAATTTGCTCTGCGCAGCCTCCCATGATTTTCTTAGCCTCACAGGACGTGCATTCATGCGTGTTGCACAGATGCATGCACGTGGGAGCCAAAGAGTCGATTTGGTCCTACATTATATTAGGGGCCTGTTTGGATTGAGGCCTGGCACATAGGCAAACGCCTACCAGGCAACGAATCCTGGTCCCATGCGTCCAAAATCAAACGCTTGGGGTGCCTGCTTGGGCTAGGCTGCTTTTTGAAGCTGTGGACCAAACAGGCCCTAGATGCTGCATAGGCACCCTGTATCACGAGAATAAGAAAAAAACAATTATGACTTCTATTCTAGGATGGAGAGAGTAAATAGAAAAAAATAGAAATATGATAAAAATGCATATACAAAACATAGAAATAAAAAACACATAAGTTTTGTAAAAATAGGTATATGGATGACTTGTAGGAAAATCGGAGAAAGCGTTCCAAAAAAAAGAAAATCGGAGAAAGCAAGAAACAATGAGATTTGAGTAGAGATTTTGTTCAGTGGTTTTTCTCTGACATCATTGAATGGCAAAAAAAAATTATATCCTTTTCCTACAAGCAATTGCTGCAAACCAAAGGCGCTACAGTAACTTAGAAATGAGGATTCTCCGTTTTGCCTCCAATCCAAAAGTGACATTTTCCCTTTAGTTTTTGCTGCAATGCAAAGGGGGCCTCAATCTTGCACTTTTTTGTTTTCTTAATCCATTGGGTTTAAAATGTTCAGTGCATTTTATTCCTTTATTTTTCCTATTGCTACGTTTTTATGCAATCCTACATTCCAAAAGACCGTAACTATTCGACCACACAAACTGAATCCTGATTATTTCTTGCTGACAGAGTGAGAGGTAGTCCCGACAAGTGCATATAGAACTACACAAAAATCATTAACGTATTAACATGATACTGAAATCCCTTCCCTGGCAGAAATGAAATAATGGAGATGGCTGGAGTCCGTCACAACAAACAGATATGGAATAACTGAGATGGCTGGACTCCGTCGCAACAAACGGCTTCAACGCTTGATCTTCTCTTTGAATAAAATAAAAATAAACGTCCCCAACACAGAGCTAAGATACAGTTTACTAAGCCTTACCATGCTTAATTAGTTGCAATGTCAGACATTTTACCTTGGCACTCGAAAAAACTACATTTTCATGCCGGCAGGTGCAACTTGTTGATGAACAATATATTTGAGGAACATTTTATAAACACATGACAAGAAACGCTTCATGCTGCAATTCTGTGCACAATAGCAATACTCACTATACAAAAGGAGGACGTGCCACCACATAAAATTTACATTTTCAAGGAAACAAAAACACACTAGTGCCCCCACAGAACCTGATCTGATGTGTGCCCCAGGGGCTTGAATGGTGCCTTAGACGCTGGGACCTCACGCATCCTCTACTTGAGAGTTGAACACAAAGCTTGGAAATGTTGTGGTGATATCCCTGTTCAAAAATTAATCCACGATCAATATTTCAATAAATGCTGTTACTTCATCAAACATACACAGATTCAGTAAAAACAGCACAAAAAAAGATATTAGACTGTATTTTTTTTGTCCAAGTTTCAATTAGCAATCATGATAGTGCACCATCAGCACAGAATTACCCCCATCTTTCTCCAGATAAGGATCTGACAGAGAGGAACAAGTGATCTGGCAAGCAAAGGTTTTATGTTAATATTCCCTCCATTTTACTATACTTGTCCATGCCTCAGAATTATCTGTTTCAACATATCTGTCCAAGGGTGGAAATGATGGTGTTTTATTGTGATTTTTCCTGTTATTATAGTCCTAAAACCACAAGATACTTCTGTTCTTTCCAACAAACTTCCAATCCAAAGAGGGTGGCCTTTTTCTTCTCTAAACAACAAGGCTATTAATATCTTCATTATCACAAATCACGATTAATAAGACATTAAACAGACATTACACAGAGTATACCAAAGGGTACTTGAATTAAAGCTTGTCGGAAACAGCAAAAGTATCCCGTACACGTCATGTGCATCATAACATGAATATTCACAATAAAAGTATAAAACACAATAGTTTTGACCCACTAAGGAACAATTGACTAAAACAGCATATTCCGAGACTAGGACAAATACAGAGAAATGGAGGGAGCAGGTGGTGTATGTCCTGTGCGGTTAACAAATATAGAGTCTACAATACTGAGCTAGTGAGCTTCACAAAGGAGGTTAGGAACCCAAGTAGAAGTTCAGGAAGAAAGTTCAAATTGTTTTTTTGAAACATGAAAATTCAAATTGTTAAGAAAGGGAAAACTCATCAAGAGTACTGACCGGAGATATGGGAGGGTCATATTTTTTAACAAAGATGGATGCCTCAAGACAAGGCTACGCCATTCCTCCTTGTCAATTTTCCCGTCGTGCTTTGTATCTGCTTCCTCAAATGTCTAGTAACATCAAAAAGTATGAGCAACCAAGCATAAGTTCGATAGATATATACCCTATACAGAAATATATGTACTCCGATATACCTTATCAATAATGCCTTCAATAATATCATCTGAAAGATTCATTCCTGATTCAGCAAGTGTTGCGACAACCATTTGCTTGACCTGACAATCAAGAACAAACACAACAACATTTTCATTGCTGATGGCTGCATTTAATGTCAAATGGGATATACTTCGTGCAAGCAAATATAAGAACAATCCTCAAAAAGGGCTGTGTATGAGGGCTTCAGTTTAGACTCATGGGTGTTCAATATCAATCAGCTTAGTTCAATTCAACTTGAGAAATAAATTTCCATTGACGATAAAATCATATGCTAAATTGGAACCTGACTTGAGAGGGTGAATAATTGTATTCACGTACAAGCTAGTGTAGCACATGTAGGAAAAATAGATGCAACATGGAACATGCAAACCAATAATATGCAGTGATACATGGAAGATATGATTTCTTAAGATAAGGATAAGCATGTGGAAGGTACCTCCTGCTTTTCAATGAAACCTTGTTGTTTGAGATCATACAATTTGAAAGCAACTGCAAGTTGATAGGAAACAAGATCATGAGAGTGAATGATTAGTGTGACACATGCATAATTTCCCAAAGTAGAATAAACTGAATTGGTTAACTACATACTCATTCCAAATACTTCATCATCATAGAAAACTTCCCAAACCTAAAGATTTTGTATGTGCATGGTAAAGATGCAGGTTGCAGGCCTCGCACTAATATACTCTATCTACAAGCTTCTCCCTCCCTACAGAGCCTTAGCAGGTAACGAAATCAAAATAAACTATTTCTAGCCGCAACAAAAAGGAGTTAGTGTTAGTCCATTTAACCCATGTACCACATCAGGAATGAATGTCTATTCCAATTTTTTACAATGTTCATTCTTTTGTAAAGTTGAAGGGCATCACATGCATTACAGTTCCAGCTGCCTATCATGTCCACAAGTGTTTTCATGGATATTTAGTAACAGTAATGACTCGACATCTTATCTTGAATTATTATCACATATTAAAGTTGTAACTGGATACTTGGTCACTTATGTAGCATTTTCAGGAATAAATAAATGAATGAATAAATCAATAAATTAAGCATGAAGGCTTACAATCAATTTTGTCATCAATTGGTGCACTTGGATGGAACACAGAAAGGGCTCGAGCAAACTCCTCAAATTCAAGAATTCCATTGTGCTTCGTGTCAAACAAGTCAAATACCTAAGTCAATGAATCAAAAACAGGATACCTTAGTGTTTATTTCAGATCAACACAAAAGAATATGCATATTTTGAAAATCAAACGAATTTGCAACAAAGAGACAGAGAATTCACATTGAGCACACCCCCTTCCAATGATTGCAGGTGGAGGCTTACACATGCAGACACATTGAAATTATGTGTTAACGGCTTAACACATGCCCGCAGAAACACATGTGTTAGCATATGATTGAAGCTTAAAAGGCTCAGGGTCTATGATGTCCAACCACTGTTCTAGACAGCTTGGCATAATGTGATTAATGTCATGTTCATATAACAAATATTGTACTGTTGATCCTTTTATAACACACAACTAGAAAAATAATGTGGCCCAAATAGCAAAAAGAACACGATAATTGGGCAAGAACAGACTGAATAGCGTGAAGTTCTCAGCAGTGAGCTTTGCTTTCATGACAACAAAATTTTCACAAACAAAATGTATATAAGGATCCAGTGGACATACCCGATCAGCAAACATGCTATCCTTTCTGTTGGTCTTAAACAGGGCTAATTGGAATTCTTCCTGCAGATAATACGTCAAAGCCCCAAGGAGAGATCAGACATCATGGCTTCATGGAAACAAAATTGCCATTCACTGCCACTTCACACTCAAATAAATTAGTACAACGTACAGACCTTGTTAATCAAGCCATCATCAACCACAGCGCTGCTAATCTTCTTGAACAGCTCATACAGAGCCTCGATTTCATTCACATTAACTGCAAAATACAGGAAATCCACTGCTGAATAAACGACAACAGACACGAAACAAGCGTCTGAACATATAGACTGATTCTGTAGAAGCAAGCGAGAGTAAAAAGAGCATACAAACAGTCTCTCTAGCCAGGCGTTCGGGGTCCTCAAGGCCCTTTGGCCGATTGGGTATGTCAAGGTCGCAGCACTTGAGCAGGGCAGAGGCGAGCCGTCGAACAAAGTCCACCATTGCACACTCTACGAATAGCTATCCAAATCAACACGTCTCCGAGCTGCAAAAGACCAGGAAGAAGCGGGTCAGGACCGACGACCGCAGCGCGCGAGCAATTTCCACGACCGGATGACACCACACCACCCACCCAGTTCCCCCTTCCGATTGGAGCAGAATCCCATAAAAAAACAGGAAACCAACCACTTCCCGCTCAGGATCACCGGATCACAGCTCAGCTGGAAGCCACGCGAATCGTAATCCCGACCGACGCCCCGATACCTCGGACACGGACACGAAATCAAGCCAGAAACGGATCCCGTCGCAGCCGAAACGCCGTCGCAAGCACGCGTCACCGCGGGTCCGCATTCTCTCCGCGACTCCCGTCTTCCACGCGGGAACGGCGCGGCCATGGGATCCCGCCGCATCGGAGTTTTCCGGCCCGTGGGCCGAGATGGGATTCGTGCACTAGAAGGGATCGGTAGGGCAGCAGGCCTCACCTCATCGGGGATCCTCCTCGCGGACGGAGGCGGGTTGTTTGCGGCGTGGAGGGACGGAGGGCGGGGGCCGGCGGTGAGAGATTGCGGAGGCGCGGGGGAGGGCGTGGCCGTGAGAGGAGGGAGGGAGCGAATCGCCGGAGGAGGAGGAGCGCCACGTCAGCGGTTCTGGAACCTGAGGATGTCGTTGGTATGTTCTCCTCGTGATCTCGTCCCAGATCCCCGAAACATTCCTGGGCCGAGAGGTAGATGGGCTTTCGTGACCGGGTGTGGGCCAGCCGGGCCGTGGCTCGTCGTAACGATCGTAAATTTTCAGTCGGAATAGTATTTTTCTCTCACACAAATCAGCCAGCAGTACTTTTTCACGAACCAGCAACAAAATGAACTAGCCAACCGAATAGGCTTGATGTTTGTCCATTGCTATCGCGATTTGAACCGGGTTAGATCCAAGTGCTGTGTCAACTGTCAACCGGGTCCGATATATTCGACTAAACTTGGACAAAATCAACATCAACTTGTGACTACTTGTATTTCGTTAATGTTCTCTACCGAGCGTCCATCTGGCCGGACGGGACGTACCTGTTTGCTCTCGCGCCTCACGCCCCTACGCCTCGTGCCTCACGCGGCTCGTGTCTCGTGCCCCTACCCATGCCTCGCGCTGCGTGTACATGTCTGCTCCCGCGCCTCGGGCCCTGAAATGATCAAGATGCCTAAGAAAGGTGTGAATTGGGCTAATTCTAAAATTCTTTCAATAATTAAATCTAACGGTTAGCCCACTTTCCTCTGCCTAGAAAGTGTTTCTATTGTTCTACCGCACAAAAGTTTAGCAATCTATGTTTCAATCCTACTCTAACATGGCAATTATATGAATGTAAAGACAAGAATTAAATTACTCAAAGTAAATACTTAAACTAAAGAGAGAAGGAGTAACGCCGCGATATTTTACCGAGGTATCGAAGAGTCGTCACTCCCCACTAGTCCTCGTTGGGCACCTGCGCAAGGGTGTAGCTTCCCCTTGATCCGCGCAAATGATCAAGTGTTCTCTACGATTTGATTTTTTGACACTCCATCGCGGTGAATCACCCACAACTGCTCATAACTTGAGTTGGGTCATCCACAAGCTCCGCCGGATGATCACCAAGCTCCCAATCACCACCAAGCCGTCTAGGTGATGGTGATCACCAAGAGTAATAAGCACGAACTTTCACTTGACCACGACAAGCCTAATGAGAAGGGTGGATACACACTTTGCTACTCTTGCTTTCACTAATGAGGTCTCTCTCTTGGATTCTCAAATATCAATCACCTCACTAGGGTCTTGCTCTTCTTGGCACTCTTAAGGGTGTTTCTCAGCTGTTGGAATGAGCAAAAAGTGATCCCTCACATGAATAGAGGAAGTATTTATACACCCTTGTTCAAAACGAACCATTATGTGCCTTTGCGGGTTGACCGGACGCTCCGGTCAGTTCACCCGCCACTGCGCAGTTTAAGTTGTGACCGGACACTGAACAGCGTCCGGTCAGCACTGACCGGACGTGTCCCGTCACGAAAACTGCTCTCTAGAACCTTACTGGAGTTGATCGGACGCTGGCACCCAGCGTCCGGTCACTCACCTCTCAATATCCGGTCGCACCAGACGACTTCACCTTGATCAAATGAACTGGCCGGACTCTGCGCCAGCATCCGGTCACACAAGAACCAGCGTCCGATCGACATTTGATCCTCCATTCACTTCGAACTCGCAATCATATGTGAATGAAGTTTGCTCTAATTGATCTAAGGGCTTCTTATGAGATACCTAGTGCTAGATTTGACAAGTGTGCACTACGCCTAACCCACTAGACTCATCTAGGTCAAGCTACCCGTCCATACCCTCCTTAATAGTACGGCCAAAGGAAAAATAAAGTCCTAAACTACTCTAAGTGTCTCTTCAACACCAAACGACACTTAGAACTAGTCCATCCTTAACCTTGTTGTCCATCGTAGGGGCATGACAACCATGATTGCCCAATCAATTATCATTACCATGACCTAACTTAATTACATCTACAAAACACACGTTAATCACAGTAATCTTGTATTATCATTAATCACCGAAACCCAACTAGGGGCCTAGATGCTTTCAATCTCTCCCTTTTTGGTGATTGATGACAATACCACCTTGAGTATATAAAAAGAGATGAGGTTTTCAACATGCTTGATTTATATAAGCTTTTGACAATAAGACCAAAAGAGTTAGGCAAGCTTATATAACCCAAGCCAACATGATGTACTCAATAGATACGAAATAAGCATGAGTATAAGTAATAAAGCTCATTTGCATCGGAGTAAAACACGAAAGCAAAGCAAATGAGCATAACCAAGTGATATGACATATAAATAATTCAAGTAGAGAGCACACATGTCACATATCACATAAATATCACGATCACATTAATATCACTATTACGATCACACTTATGTAGTTCAATGCATAATAGTAAACATGAATGCATAACAATGTATCACACATAAAACTCCAAATGTAATAGATAAGCTCCTAAATGTATCGCTCCCCCTAAGTCTACCATACTCGATCCCTCTCCCCCTTTGGCGTTAAACACCAAAACCTAAGGGTCGATCGGTGGGGCTGCAGCGGATGAGTCAGGCGCTGAGGTGCGATGAGCGATCTGGAACTGTGTGCCATCATCCTCTGATCCGGAGCTCTATGCAGTCTGACCCTCTGTCGCTGGAAGTGATGCTAAAGCAGTCTGGGTCAGATCTAGTACTGGTGCGGCCTGTGACTCTGAAGGTATGACTGTAGCAGGCGGCTCTGATGATGTAACTAATGAAGGGAGTGTCTATGTAGTCCCAGTAATAGGAGCAACTGTGGAAGGACCAGAGACAAGTAGATCTAGCAGAGTAGGCTGCCCTGTTAACTCACTGAATGTCGCACCAAGGCTCCTAGAGATTGGGGTGTCTGGCACAAGCAACGACGAACTCGGACCCGATGTGAAGCCCATATGTAGCGGTGTAAACTGCAGAGCCGGGGCTATCACTGGCGAGGCAAATCACTAGGACACCTGCTCTGTAGGTGAAGCAAATTGAGTAGCAGTCTGTCCCTGACTCTGAAGCCCACTAGGCTAGAAAGCTGGAGTCATAGAAGTGATGGCAGGCTGACCAAGCTGAGGTCTAGGTTGTGGCGGTGGAGCCCCAATGATAGTAACAACATGCTACATGAACCCGAGTAGCTGCTGCTGCATGGCCTACTGCTGCTGCTGAATAGCCTGCTGCTGACGTTGAAACTCGTCCTATCTGGCCTGTACCTGTGCTAGTGCAGCTGCTGTCTCCTAGGCCTAGCGAGCCTGATCCTGCCTCATCCGCTCAAGTATAGCAAGTAGAGCGGGGTCTATCTGTGGTGCAGGTGGAGCTAAGATGGAACTACCGACCTCACCATCATGTCATCGAGGAGGCATCCGAGGGATATCCTGATAGTCATCATCTATGCTGTCACTGGGGTCGCTCTCGACCATACCCTCCTGCTGAGCATCAATGAAAGGGTCGAGATGGCGACTAGAGGGGGGGTGAATAGTCATTTTTAATATTAATCGCATCGGCTAACCAAAACAAGTGCCGAGTTAAAACTATCGGTCTAGCTAAGACTACACCCCTCTATCTATGTTCTCTAGTACCTTCCAAAGATACTAATTAAGCAACTAAGGTGCAGGACTAGCTAGAGGTCTCCTAACCAATTCTAGGAGTAAGGTCACACAAACCTATGCCACTAGTACTTTAAGCAACAAGGGAGCTCCTACACATGCTAGTAAGCAAAAGCATGAAGCCACCTAAGCTCACTAGCAATGCTCAATAACAAGGCAACCAATGCCAAATTAAAGAGCGCAATTACTTAGCTACACAAACTAAGCAATATGACTAACAAGGTTATACAAACCAAATTAGCCACGCAAAGGAGCTACTTCTATGCTACACAAGCAAGAAGGTAACTAGTAAGCTACACAAGCTAACTAATTACGAAAGCAACAACACAAGCTCAATGTATATGAAAGTAATTGCGAGCTTGTGTAACGGGGACCCCAGCGTCCGGTCACTATGTGACCAGCGTCTGGTCCACTCTGTGAGACCCTGTCTTTTCTGTCTAGGGTGCCGGTGGCACCGTCGGACTGTCCGCACTCTACGGGCGGACACTTCGCCGGTGGAGTTTCTCCTTTCGCCTCCATTTCTTCACCGAGTTGATCCACATAAACTCCAACTTCATCTCCTTTGTAAATGTGCCAACCCCACCAAATGTACACCACCATGTGTATGTGTGTTAGTATTTTCACAATCATTTTCCAAAGGATTAGCCACTCAACTTGCCACGCCACTCGATCCTAGCAATGATGCAAAGTTAGATCACTCGAGTGACACAAGATGACCGATATGCAAACAAGTTTGCCCCTCTTGATAGTACGGCCATCTATCCTAAATCCGGTCATAAACTTCTCTACACACCTATGACCGGTGAAATGAAATGCCCTAGGTTAT